TTGCAAGTAGGTCATGGCAGGATATTACTAAAGAAATACACTGTTTATTTTGATACCGAATCTTGCAGGATTGACAAATACGGACTTTCGTCTTTTTTTAAAAAAACGTCTCTATATACAGGTGTAAATACCAGAAAACCAGAAATTGAATAATTAGTTGAGGTCTTTATCCACGTTGTCATATATTCTAAGGCGACTCATAACAGGGGCGAATCCAGGGGAGGGGTGCAGGGGGTGCGCACCCCTCCCTGGTTACACTTTGGGCTCTTACTTCGAAGATAACCAATTTTGTTTTTTGCCTTTGATTCTAAGGGTTACACCCCTCCCTGGGTTATAAACATTGTGCGTAGCACCCCTCCCTTAACAAAATCCTGGATCCGCCCCTGCATAACATTAAGAAATCGCTTTAAATTGAGCACGGGGCATAAAAGTCGACAAATGAAGACGTCAATTAAGGTTGGTAAATCTTGCTCTTAAATTTCTATATATAATACATTACGATCAAAACGATTCCCCATACATTCTCTCTAGAAGTACATCTCTAGAACAGAGCTTGGGCTGCCTGTGTTCCTTCCAGATGTGCAGTGTACTCTGTTGATAGGCGAAAAAGACAATAGCCACTATATAAGAAGGAATCTGATTGGTTGATAAATTTAGTTGGCTGATATATAAAAGGTGTTTGGTACAGCGGATTGAATGGGTAAGACATGCGCATTGCATTTCAAACAGGCCACGACCTTACTCAACAATACGAGGTATTTCCTCTGATCGGAGTCCACCTTACTTTCAGATCAACATCTTGTCAGACTCAGAAACTAATTTGAAACTCCACGGGAACGCCGTGATCTACGAACATGACGGAGTATAAACTAGTTGTAGTGGGAGGTAAGTTTTTTGGGAYCCCAATGGAATTTTTTGGAAGGTTTTCAGCCCTGGATCCTGCGATAATGGAACACGATTTTCAACTGACTTTTTGGTCTTTTCTTCGTCCCTGTCTCTCTCTCTCTCTTAGCTGGAGGTGTGGGAAAGAGTGCTTTGACCATTCAACTCATCCAAAACCAGTAAGTAATAATATATTTTAATCCAAAGTTTGAAGACTCCTTCGTATGGTATCAGAGTATTTTTAATGTTTATTAATACTTGATATTTTACATGATGGAAATATTGTGCCTAGTCTTATGCATAAAGGGCTGGTTCGCTCGACCTGCCATTGATAAATTTAATATAGTCGCGGCGTTATAGCGCTCACACTGTTTCAGAAACTTCCTCTGAGTGGTATTCTTACCTCAGCTCAACTCGATAATATCCATCTCGACGGCAAGGTGCAGGTATTTAGATATATTCAAAAAAGAACATGCAAATTCGCTAATAAGTTGTGCAAAAGTTGGAGCTACCGGTTTGGGAAACCAGAGTCAGACCAACTCGGTGTGTGCATATATTTAAGCCCATAAAGGCGTTGTACAAACATCAATAGGCTTTAGAAATTCGCCAGATTCAGATACGACACATCCCAAATGATAGTCTGAGTAGCCTTCTAAGCTTCGTGTTCCAGCTTGTACCAAGCAGAACGAACGAAGAGCAAAGAACAGTTCGCTAAGCAAGTCCAGAATTGTRTTCAAATTTTACACTGATCAGCGACCTCGATCCGCGAGAGTCGAAAGTTCCACAGCTATCTATTGCTTTCGTTTGTGCTGCGGTGTTGTGCAGTTTATAACATTATATGACTTAGACCGTTAGGAAAGGGCCAGCTTCCTGCAGGCCTGTAATAGCGCTTAGGATTTGAAGCCTAGCTGTAGACTGTTGTTTTGGTGTCCAGCTAGGGGCAGGGCTTAATTGTATGGGTGTTGCCTCCTACAAGAAACATTATGGAACTTTGAAATCTTAGGTGTTAACTTCTGTTAGCTTGTTATTATCTAGAGAACTGGTGTAAACTTTTAGCTGCATAATTAATCCATAAGAAGTGCGATGTATCATGACCCACCCCTCCGCTCCCTAAGTTTTTGGGAGTGGTGAGGTGAGGGTACGCATCTGAAATTTATTTGCTACCATTATTTAACAAAGATTTCGTAGTAAACTGGTAATAATGCTGCATAACATCCAATCTTTTAAAACTATTGGTTCTAATTGGTTCTGACTTTCTCAGATCTTACTTGACCAGTAACCTTTTTTACCATGGTAACCAAATATTTGGTCCATCACCAATTTCTCAGATTGAAGATAAAACCTAGGTATTGTGTATACGTTGTATATAAAATAAAATGTCGTACCATTAGACATGTTTTATCTGTGTTAAAATTATTTATGCCACACCCTTTTTTGACAAATTCATAGTATAACAAACTACTTTAGTATTTATTATTATATAGTTATGATAGCACCTGCGTGCTGATTGGTCGAAAACTGTGCCACATAAGTTAAGGGAGCACAGTGTGGCTAGATCCTGCCTTGTCTTTCTTTTTTTTTTTCAATAAATTAAATACCAAAATGAAATTAGTAACTAAATGATAAAACGAAAAACGCATCTTTTTCCATGCTTCATTCAGCAATAAAGCACTTACTTAGGAGTGCCATAAGCATTACACTTCTTTCATGCTTACTTCACATCCTATGTGCTTTGTTACTAAAAAAGCTGTTTATTTGTTAATCATTAAAGAATACTAAAAGAACCCAACCACATTGCATTTGTTGGAAACAATGGAATGCTATCCAATGCACCATTTTCTCTGCTACCCAAAATGGCAGTTTTTTAGGTAAAATTYCATAAGTCTTGCTATTGCTGCTAGATGTTTGATGACCACCATGATATAGTGATACATAGTCACTTTATGCTGTCCTTGAGACTATCTGGATTTTGGCAATGAATCTAGGATAGATTTTGAAAGTTATGATGGCTACCAGWTGGATGTCCCAAAAGTTATAATGTAACAAACAGAATCTTTCTGAAAAAATTCAAACTACTAGCTGTGGAATGAAAGGAAAGAGACTTTGGCAGTTTGAAGACTTCTGTATATTTAATTTGTATCAATTTTGATCCATCAGAGCTTGGAATAGCTGCATGATTGATAAAGGCAAATGATGTAACCAGTAATATAGAAATGCTGGCATTGTGTTTGACTARGATTCTTTAAGACGCCAAGGTGCATAATGGGCATACATTAATGCAATGAGTATTAAGTATCAATCATGATTAGTGATTGCATGTATTTAAACATCAGACACCACTTGTGTCTTGATAGTAATTAACCAAAAACTAGGAGCATTTTCAGCCAAGCTATATTSTCAGTATGTGGTTGTAATTGTAATAGCATATTTGATTATAAACACTTTTCTGATAATTTGCCATTTTAATACCATACAGGAGATTCCTGTGCATGAGTTTTTTAAGGAAAAATTGAGCCACACGACCCTTGTTAAATAAAGTTTTTAATTTTCTTTAACTCATTAGTTTATTATCATTATTATCATTACTACTACTTATTGAATTATATTATTTGTAATTATTGTAATTTAGTAAAAATATACAGGTGATTATAGAAAATCTCGCGCGTTGATTGGTCAAGAAACTACTTATTGAATTATATTATTTGTAATTATTGTTAAATATTTACACCTGATTGCCATTTTTTAAATATTTATTTACAGTTTTATATTTTATGTTCCATAATTTTATAGTTTCATGATTTTATAGTTTTATAGTTTTTATATTATAATGTAGTTTAATACTTTTAAAAGGTGAGGGCCACAAGTTTATAAGTGTTATCAGTTTTAGTGTTTACCCTCTTTAAATAAAGTCTATCTATCTATCTATCTTTCTACTACTACGACTGCTATTCTAATACAATTGATCATGATCTTACTTTCAGTTTTGTAGATGAATATGATCCTACAATTGGTAAGTAAATGCACTGTACAGTACATGTAGAGGGAGGACACATTTTCACCCCTTAAAATCTAGGGTATCTGGTCTTTTCAATCCAAAGTCTTTTCGATCCAGGTATTTTCGAACCACCGATATACACTTTTGATCCACCTATAAACACTTTCGATCCACTATCATATAACTAAAGCATATAACAAGTCCTTTTTGCTGTGTACATGCAAAATGTAAAAGAGTATAGTTAAAAAAGTTGTCAAAAGTAACAACTAAAAATCATGATCAGAAAAGAAATCGAAACTATGTGCTTTGGACTATGAGTTTGGCTGGGCATGATGATTACATCGGTGGTGTCACAGACTTTTTCAAACAAAYGCCTTCCAACTGTCTTAAATAGTAGGACATTGTTATAAATTCTGAAGTGGAAATATCATTGGCTAAGTTTATCGTATAAGATGCTAACTACAGTATTTTTGGAATCGATCAAATAGTTTTGGATTGAAATATTATGAATTCAAAACGCCATTCAGTTCTGATTGATTAAGCTTATTTATGTGTTTCACATACTTGAATATTAAAGTTTTTTTCTAGAGTTAATCAACATCTAAATCAAAATGAAAACTGTTGACTTCTGAAACTATTTAGTCTCTTAGTAAAAACTTATACAAACGGTTCAGTTGAAAGAAACTCCACTTCGTGTATCCAATTAGTATATAGGTGAATCTTGTCACAACATTTTAACGCATTCGCCATGTGTTTCCCTTACTTTATTTGCCATGTATTTAACATTACTTGAGAAAGTACCTGTATTTTTGTACTCAAGATTTGGGCAAACAAGCAAATATTTTTTTCACATATCGGATAAGTTGCCGGTTTTATTGACAAGTTTCACATGTAACACTCTTGTTGTCACATGCRCACATATATTCGTTCGCAACTTAAGTTTAACTCATTCAAGATGTTTCCCCTACTTTATTTGCCCTGAGTTTAACATATAATTAACAAATAGATCAGGCTTAGCTATGTTCTGTTCTCTGATAAAACACGACTGGAGCTGTAGGAAACGAAAAAAGTTATAGAAATCACGAGCCGTAATCGCTATATGTAATAGATTTTTACGAAAAAAATAGCGTAAAATTTCAAATAAAAAGATTTGTTTACAAAAAGAGCACGCGTCTGTCATCAAACTCACATAAACAAATTTGATCTATGCGATGATTGGCTTAAAACGCGACCTATGGCTATCTGATTGGTCCAGTTTTGACAGGTAATGACATATCTGTACAGGCTGGCATACAACTGGTTTATCGCAAATGTTCAACAAGAAAGGAGAATTGCTTGTAAATTTTAGCAAAAAAGCCAAAGAAAACAAGCATTTAACTGCTAGAAGAAATGAAAATTCAAATACTGAAGTAGTATTGTAGTACCAATCAAATGTGCTTCAAAACGACATATTTTCCTTTTATAGAGGAAAGACATAATTCTYGATAAAAATGGATGAATATTTTAAATTTGAAATGTGAAAATGCTTTAAATTAAAAAGCCGAATTCCYGTGACGTAATTTCTATGTTTAATTTTGTATAGAAAACATGGTTTTGACGTCATATCTATGTTTCTATACTCTGATAAAATGTAGCTTTTCAGCCAATCAGAGCGCACGTTCRTGAAAATCTATTATATGATATGTTATAAAATGCATAATAAAACTTTTTTGCACAATAAGATGGATTTTATGTTTATCATGAACTGCTTTTTATGGTGTATTATGTAACCAGCTTTATAAATAACCACAGCGTTGTGTTATGTGTCGCTCCTTTAATTCATGAATAATCTGTCTTCTCTTTATTCTTTCCTGATGTTCCTCTAATTTTATTCATTTGAAAGGTATTTTAAAGCTTCTTGGATATAAAAAAAGTTTTTCCAGAAAGATTCCAAAAATCAATAAATAACCCGTTACCAAATAGAAGGTTTACTGTTTTCATTGACGAGATAGTAACAATACACGCTTGTCACACAACATTAATCATTCGCTTCTAAAGTTTTTGACTTCTTCATGATATTCCTTCCTTTTATCAACTAGGAGATTCATATTTATTAAGGGAGAAAATATTTTTTCTTGGCTAAAGACTTTACGTTGGAAGTGACTATGGGGGATAACTTAACTTTGTAAGCAATAACACATGTCACACACGAATACACACAATACTTGGTTCCCTCAGTTGGTTCACTTCTTCTGTGATATTTCTGTAATATTTCTGAAAGAAAACACTAAACATCTATAAAATATGTCATAACTGTATTGGATCGAATGTGTATGTATGTGGATCAAATGTGTATGTATGTGGATCAAATGTGTATGTATGTGGATGGAAAGTGTATATAGATGGATCGAAAGTGTATATGGGTGGTTCAAAAAGACCTGCATTGAAAAGGCTTTGGATCGAAAAGACCGGTATTCAAATCTAGTATTAACTTCTTTTCTGGCTACATATCTTGTTCTTTAATGACAACATGAAATGTACTGTCCTAGGAGGGCACTAACTAGAGTTAAAACCCTTAACACTGACCCATGCAGTGCCCAAAACCACCTGTAGAAAATGCACCTTCTTTGGCAAATTATAGCTTTTGGTAATTTTGAGTGAGTTGGTCTTTACTGCCATTTTCATGAACATGCAAACTCRGTAGCTGTGAGCTGCACTCTGAAATTTRATTTTTCACTGCCGCCAGCCAACAATATGAAAGTGATTAGTTTTGATTGACAGCAGCGAAAAACCAAATTTCTAAAAAAAATCTAAAAATGGCTGTAAAAAAAACTACTTGCATCATGTATATATTTACCATCTTTAAARCATAAGCAGAATTAGAAGATATTGTAATTTGACTGTAGTTTGTTTCAATGTGTAGTTTCTTTTGATCATATCCTTGTTGTCGTTACTCATGACAACTTTTTTAACATACACTTTTACATTTTGCATATACACAGCATATAGGACTTGTTATATGCTTTATTTATATACATGGATCGAAAGAGTGTATTATTATTTGGATCGAATGTGTAATATACATGGATCGATGTGTACATGGGTGGATTAAAATGACTGGTTACCGTGAAAAATATATTAGAGACAAAATGGCTGTCACTTGTTGCATTGATAGAATTGATGGCAAAGAAAGCACTAGAAACCAAAGACTAGACTAGGTCTAATGTAATAGTATTTTTGAATAGCGATAGATATTTCTTCAACCCCTTGCCTCCCATGGATGTATACGTACCTTAACAGATTCTTGTATGATCTACATCTTGAGCTTGATCATTGGTGATCATGATTTTTAAAAAATCTGTTTGTTGAGTGTTCTGTTGCTTAAATAGCAATGTATGAGTATTTGGCATGAGTATTTGGCTGCTTACAGCATTTCCCATTGATCTTATGGGAAAATCCAAGTTGCCTGCAGGTAGATCAAGTGAGTGCCTTGTTACAGACCCTGTGCTTCGAAACTRACTTCAAAAATATGCATTGATATTTCAACTGAGTTTGAAGGTGTTTTTGTTATAATTTTTTAAGTTTTTTCCAACCTTTTCTATTTCAAAAGTTTTTATGTTTCCAATAAGGTGCATTTTTATGAGTGGTTTCTTGCATTGCAGGAGTACCAATAATACCTTTGCTTTCTTTTTCTTTGTTTGTTGGTTGAAAATTGCAGAAGATTCATACAGAAAACAAGTTGTAATAGATGGAGAAACATGTCTGCTGGTAAGTGAGGGGTATTATTAACATAATRAAACAATGATTTGCTTTCATTTTTCTTTTGGATATTTTGCGTATATACCCAGAGTTATCATATTAAGCTGGTAGTTATTAAGGTAGTTCCAGACCTTTGCTACTGYGCATCCATTTTGCTCTTCTCGTTTTTTACTGTTTATTAGCATACTGTAGTTTTGAAAATTTCTCCAAATGATATCTTACTCTGACTACCTTTTCGTAATCTGACAAAATATTCTGTAATTTCATGTACATTTTGATATAAATTGGGCGTTTTTTAAAACATGCTAAGATTTTTATTGCTTGAMCTGGTATAAAAGTAACGTAGCATAGCATAATAGTAGCGTAAAAGTTAAGGTATGTTAAAACTTAGGACTCAAAGTGTACGTAAACAGAAACTAGCGAAGAGCCAAATAATTCCCAATCTTGATGAAAAAATGAGCTATCTATGCTGCCCAAGTCGATGTCCATGATACATTTGCTTAGTGATTTACAGACTGCAATGAAAACAAGTTGAACAACCATTATTATTAAAACTTATTTGGAAAATCAGTTACATCAGAGTTGGAAACCTAGATTTTTATTTTTCCTGTTGATTTTGTTGTAGGACATATTGGATACGGCTGGACAAGAAGAATACAGGTATTGCATCACAGAAAAATTATGTATATATTAAAAATCTCTGGGACATGTTACAGTTACCAGGTGAATCATCACCATTTTTTTAAAGAATGACAGTACTGGTAAACCGATAAACATTTGTAAATTAAAGTAAATAAAAGTTGGAACTTTTAGAGGTASACATGTATCGTTTGCAGTGACTTGTGTGAATTCTGGAAAAGTCCATCAGTATTATAGTTGAATTAAATTTCTTGTTAATTTTTTGTATTTCAGTGCAATGAGAGACCAGTATATGAGGACAGGAGAAGGGTTTCTTTGTGTATTTGCTGTAAATAATAGAAAATCATTTGAAGATATAAACCAGTACAGAGAACAGGTAAAGAATCAACAATATAAGAACTGAAACTTAGTTCTTACAGGGTTTTTCCAGACTCTTCTCAAAAATTAGGAAATTTATACCTAAATTGTTATTCTGTCATTTCTATCAATAATTATTATTTGACAGACTTAGTTTTAACTTGTGGATACGCAAAGCGTAGGGGTCTATATATGGAAATGTGTCACACTAAACCACTAAGATGTAAGCAGATCATGTCATCATAATGTTACGAACATTTCGCTAAACTTACTTTCGGACTTCATACAAACACAAGGTTTTTATCCGATAAGGCTAGCTGAAAGGAAAGATCAGGTGTAGTTTGTGACTCAAACTTAATGCACACTCGTAAATTTAACTGTTGTGAAACTTTAATGATGAAAAGGTAAATTATACACTGTGAAAAGATGAAAAAACTTACTGACGTTTCGGACGCTAGTCCTTCGTCTTTTACTCCGACGAAGGCCTAGCGTCCGAAACGTTAGTTTTTTCATCTATTCACAGTGTATAATTTACCTTTTCATCATTACTGTTTCATTAGAAACACCAACGCAGCTCACACTAGTTTTTAGCTAGTTATATCTTGTTGTGAAACTTATTCATTGTTAAATAGCAATTGTGTCAATAGACTAGTTTCGAATTCCAAATTACTGCTGTGTTTCTTGATTACTGACTCATTTGCACAGGGTTAGCCTCAAGTTTGTGCAGAATATACACGTGTTCAAGTCAAGGTCCGTAGAGTTTCAAAGTGTTTGTATTGTTGAAATTGTGCATTCTTTACTTTGCTGTTGGTATTTGTGAATATTTAAACACTGATACGAGGCTAACCCTGTGTAAATAAGTCTGTAATCAAGGAACACAGCGGTAATTTGGAATTCAAAACTGGTCTATTGCATCACCTCTAGATTACAGTCATGAAAAATAGCATCCAGTCTAGATAAAGAATGATCCAAAATCAATAATTTTCTACTTATTCATTCAACTTTATTCAGTACAACCTCTGATGGAATCCCTCAATTCCCTCTGATCATTAACTACCAAATTAGAAACGTTACCATCAGATTTCCCTCTCAAGACCTCTCAAATGAAAACAATGTGACGTGCCTGTGCAACAAGGTGTGACTTTATGAACACTTGACTAACTGGCTTGACTACCGAAATAGTTTTCTTATGAACTATGACTTTTGACTGAGGTATATTAAAATGGAATTAGCCAACATCCGCTTTCATGAAATATGCATCTGACTTTATTCAGAGATATCCCATCATAATAATTTGAGAAGAAGTTTATAGGTGATCAAAATCATTTCRACTAACTCCTGACACTTTATTGGGTCCGAGCAACCAAACTTCTTGCGCCTTCATGGACCAGGAAAGCGGTAGATTTCATATGTGCCCATTTTACAACTTGCCGTTCACTTTTGGTTCATGACAATCTTTGTTTGATCGTGGTCGTACTGATTGCTAAAACTAATCTAAAATGCCTTTWAAATGTTTTATGAAGCTTTACTACTGCTAAATAAGTTATATTTGTGTTATTGGTTTGACAATTCCCTTAATTAATGAACTCCGCACGACTGAACTATGCATTGTGGGTAACCGAACCACAACCACAGGCCACTTGAGTACAGGCAACTGAACTCACGGGCAACTTCAATCTGGATACCCTTGAATAGTTTATATCAGGAGCTGGAATTTCACTGTTCCATGTGGGATGATGTCTAGCACTGAGCATGCTCACACTTTCACATAGCTTGACCTTTGGTTATTTATATAAAATGAATCAAGGCAAGATGCAGGTTGAAGTGAAACAAAAAGCAATCATCAAAACTAGAGTTTCAAAGAGTTAAGTAAGCAAACAGAAATCRCTTGCATATAATTGTATAGTTGACATATCTATATTCAGAATAGTTGTAGGTCAAAAGATTCATGGAAAAAGCACTTATTTAATTTATCTATTTATTTAATCAATTTAATGGCAATAAAAGAGAACATAGAGAGAAGAAAGAGCCATATGGATAATCCRTAAAGGAGTCCTAGACCCCATATGGAAACAGATCACCAGGCAAGATATAAAATAGAAATAAAAATAAAATCTATACAGTACACACTAAAAAAAGCTAAAGTCCTAAAAATTAAACTTTTGAAGGAATTTATTSTGTATAGAGAAAGTCATAAAGACCCTATGAGCAAAATAAGTGATATGTAAGTGATTAAAGCTGTCTATTACACTGAGTGTGAAGTAAATATGAAACATCGTTTTATTACAGAAAACTCAATAAAGTAACAAAGAACTAAGCTAAAAATATAAGGTTGATCACCTATCTTACCAGTTAAATTGAACACTTAAATTTGATCTATGTAAAAAGGGCACAGGTTTAGTATCCACAAGTTTGCCAAAGGCAGTTTGATTATGTTTGAATGGCCTATTCAGCCTTGCTATTAAACAAAGAAATGATACTCAAAGGATTCCCTGTGATTAGAAATGGAAAAGCAGTGGATTGGGTTTATTTATATTTTCAAGAACTGCAGAGTATTAAATGATATTGAAATATATAGTAGACAATCTAGTAAAAGTTATTGGATCTATGATTTAGTTAAAGGCTCTCACCCTCTCTCTCTTTGGCAAGGTTCAGTACATTAGATTATTCTTTTTGCATTTGTGTATATTGAGTTATTTTTTATTGTTTTTTCACAGATTAAGAGAGTTAAAGATGCAGAAGAAGTACCTATGGTTTGTAAGTATCAGACCATACTAGAAAGTGACTGTTATCAATCATTATGATTATCTCCACAGCGCATTGAGGTAGCAGAATGCGCTATACAAGTACTGTTGTTATTATTATTATTATCATTATTATTATTATTATTATTATTATTATTATTATTATTCCAATCTTGTACCCAGAGCCCACGTTCCTTTTGGTCAGCACCAAGAAACCAGAAACTGCACATACCTAAATCACAGGCTAGGCATTGTTTGGGTTACCTTTGTTTGGTCTTTCTCATACTATATTATAGTAAATCCTGAGTTTGATCCAATCAAATTTAGTGCTTGAGAAATCCAGTTATTTTCTAAAAATTTTCTTGTCATTTTATTTTGAGGAAGACTATAACTTTCTATTGTTTTTTGTTTCCTGGACCAATCAGAATCCTCAAAAAATCGGCCACCTTTAGAGCCTCTAGGTATTATCAGGCATTAAACTTGATATATAAATRCCTTAACTCCATTGTTTCACACTATGTTAAGGATCTTTTAAATTTAAGAGAAGTTAGTTACAATTTAAGGAGGCTCAAAACGGTTTTTCTTGAGCGCGCACGCTCTAGATCCAATCACGTAGAACTTGCAAAAGGAAACTTTTGCCCTCAAAAATTTTAATATTCAAACTGAAAAAAATCAAAAACTGTATGGTGAAATTTTTTCATATGGCTTAATTGGTCTGTTTTTGAAAACTTAAGGAAAAATTGAAGACATTCTGTAAGAGGAAACTATCCCAAACAAATTTTATTAATTTTTATTAATTCCATCTTACAGAATTTTTTCTTTTTTCGTCAAAAAAAAAAGATCATGATACAAAGTTTAAATATTCTGGTTTTTAAAAAATTTACCATTTGGTTCATGAGTTATGATTTTTTAAATGAACATTTTTGATGGCATAAGAAGGGTTCTGATGTAGTCATAGCAACGTATTACGTCATTTTTTCATGTTCATTGTGATTATATTATGGCCATATTAATTTTTTTAGTTCATAATTGTGACTGTATGTGAAGGCACAAAACACTTTCGAGCCTCCTTAAGGTGAAAAGGAAGCAATTTGGATCAACCTCATTTCAACTCTGAATGGCATAAGTCGTTCTCCTATATAAGTCATAAGTTGTGGAATAAGCTACCTATTAAGGTCAGAAACTGTGGGAGTCTACAAGAATTCAAGAGGGCTTTAAGAAAATTAGAATTCACTTTGTTACATTAGGCAAAGATTTGTAAAATATCTACCAGTGGGGGGTTCAGTGTATTCTTACAGAGATTCCTACACTTACATAATATTGTTAGACCTAGAATTTTATATATATTGTAATATTTAGTTTTTAGTTTAACAGGTGCACGTTCTAACGAGACTTAATTGTAAGCTCCTGTGTGAATAAATTACTTATTCACTCACTCACTCACTTACTCACTAAATCACTCACTCACTCACTCACTTACTTACTTGTTTCTCAGTACTGACCAAGGGAAGCATGGGCTCTGAGTACAAGATTGTCATTATTCATTTGGTTGAACATTAGTCAAGTGTGGTAGGAGGCCATGGTCTTCAATCCCTGCAAGACCATCTCCATGCTAAACACTCTGATAAAAGGAAAACATTAATATATTACGTAATTAATTCTTTCAATAAAAATGCCTTACCTTGTCTTTTGCAGTACTGGCCATCACTTTTGGCATTTCTTCTACCCCCTTAGTAGCATTTATAAGTTATTAGCATCCATAAGTTATTAATGTTACAATACAAAACAATATTGATTAAATTACAAAACAACATAATATCTTGATTTATGGAGAGATTCAATACCCATTTACAGTTATCTGCACACAGCTTTCATAGTGGTTTTGGATTTTCTGGGATAAATCTGACCCATTTTTGTTTTCTTTTAGTGGTAGGAAATAAATGTGATCTTCCACAAAGGACAGTTAGTACAGGTGATGCACAAGAACTTGCTAAAAGTTATGGTATCCCCTTCCAAGAAACATCAGCCAAAACAAGACAAGGTGTTGATGATGCTTTCTACACACTGGTCAGAGAGATTAGAAAAGATGTAAGTTAACAAATTTAGTGATAATAGTCACAGATATTATTAATGATAGATATTATAAATGTATTGTTCCCAATTAGCGGGGCATGTGTACCCAGCTAAAGGCAATGGCAATGATAATAACAATTTTAAAAATAAATGATGATGATGATGATGATGATAATGTTGAATTTAAAAAAAGAATAATAAGGATAATAAAAATACACCATAACCTTTTACATAAAGATGATAAGCATTGGCCCATTTTAATTCAATTTTTTGGGTTCAAGGAAGTGAGAACCAAGGTCATGTGACCACTATATCTCAAAACTTTTCATCCTAAAAACTTAAGCTCAAAAAGTTGTGGCCATGGCAATTAARAAATTGAGTAAAAATCAACAGCATTTTAACAAAAATAAAACTATCCTAGCCATAATTGGCCTTTGACCTACAGGACAACAAAAAAACAGATGTCTCAAAATTTTCTGCCATGTTATTTGAAGGTTCTTACCTGCGTAGGACCTGGGCGAGAACGAATTTTGACCTTACTACTCTCCCACACAGGATTTTTGTAACGTGTACATGACCCACCACCAACCACCCCACAGGACTAGTTTTGCTCTTGAAAATTCCTTCCACAAAGTTCTCTATGGTCGACATTTTTTTGCTTTTTTGGTTGGGTTTACTTTGAAAAATGAAAGATAACTACAGATAATTCAACACGATTTTAATGCTGTCTTWTATATTGTCTATGTTGCAGAGGGTGGTTGACTGAATTGGATGCTTGTAAAATGATTATATGTTTGACATCATTTTGATCCTTTCTATTGTTTGGTTTATTTTAACAGAAAGAAAAACGTGGACCTCCAAAGAAAGATAGTAAAAAGAAGAAATGTATTATTCTTTAAATCACAACAACAATTGATTCACTAACAGTCTAATGACTTTTACCAAGATTCTGCAAGACTCACTTATTTCCTTTGTCTTCAGAGAATAGGTTGCCAATGGTAATTCTCTGAAAATAAAAGGGATGACATTTTCCCATCGCTACAAAACAAGAACACTTCTAGAATTGAAAAAAAAAATGCATGGTTTTCCATCCAAAAAACTACATATTTATTTTTGTAGTGTATGATGTAGTGGTAGTGGGATTTTAAGCCAGTCAATATACGTAGGATAAATAATATGTAAATGTGTACCTAATAATTATGTAATGCCATTTCTCTTCTTGATCTCTCTTGCATGTAATATACTGAACTGTAAGGAGAAATCACAGGTAGCCCAATCGTACAGTTTAGGGATGTGACGTTATTAGTTTTAACGTCAAATGATCGATTGAAATTCAACATAGTTTGAGAATGTGCTTTCAGTTGTTCAGTAGTTAGGAATATTTTGATAATGAAATATTGTAAAGACTTTAAGCCAAATCATATAGCATTTTGAGTCCTCCTGAAAGCACATTTTCGAACCACACAAAATTTCATTCACCTGTTAAACCTGATGACACATCCTGGCAATAACTCTATKCTAAGGTTACCTGTGGAGTAATGAGTACTCTCGGCGGGTAGTTTAAGAGTAGGATAGTTGAAGGCCTTTCAAACAAATAGTTCTCTYCTTTGTGTTTAGCACTTTTTGTGTTTCTGTGACCCTGGGAACTCCAAATGTACATGTAAGCACATTTTTAGCTGTTTTAGGTGCATCATATTCAATGGGCCATTAATTGCATTATAGCATCATTACTTTCTTTTGTTTAGTATAGTAACACCAGTTGTCTATTTTAATGAAATTATCAACATTTTAATGCTTCAGAAAATTCACGAAACATTCTTGTAATGGTAGTAAAGTGATGCATTATATACAAGCAGCTTGTGTGAGGTTTAATCTGAGGCTACAGAACATGAAAGCAATTCTAAGCGATAGGTACATGTATCAACAAAAATATCCTCAGGCCATTATCACAAACAAATTTTTGTCCATACCTCACTCTTCAAATGATTAAGGTACTTTGCAAATGCTATCAAGCACCATAGTCTGTTGTTTCCATAGCAACAAAATTAAAATAACTAGGAAATCATTATACTCAATTCTTAGGTCCATTTTAGGTTACATGTACTATATTCCCCAAAAATTGTAATTTTCTAGTCTCAAAATGAAYGCCTTTGTTTATAATATTTTGACTAATTTTATGGTAAAATCTAAGGTAGTGTTTCAACCCGGTTTTCTGTAGATTTTAAAGAATTCATTAAAATCATATTGTAATTAAGAAATTCATATGAAGTGGCTCAACTTGATTATCATGATTGCAATGATTTAATTGTTTTGATTTTACAATCTAAGGTTGACTTGAATGCCAGTCCTTTATCAAACACAGTATACACTAAGAATGACTGACATTTATGTCAAAACTAATGAACTATTTTTGTAACTGCATGACAATGGAAAATGTTGTCTACAGTGTGTAAGAAAGTATGTTATTAAAATACATCTTTAATTATTGACAGCTATATAAATATTCATGATACAATTTAAAATAATCTGCACTGGTAGCATAGTACATGTGCTAACAACAGAAGCTACATCTTAAAGCAGGGTTAGTGCTACTCCTTTAAACTCCTTGAAAACTCCTTGAATTTAATCAATTAATGTTTTCAAGGGCACTTGAAAAGCTCATGAATTTTATGATTTTAGCAAAACTCCTTGATCTTTTGCTTTGATCATTACTTGCATTGTTCTAGAATAGATCTAGTCTGAAAGATTGGAAAATCTGAAAGTCAGCCATGTGCAACCACCATGTAAGACCTTGGCATAGTTAGCTGAACATACTCCTTGAAAATTCATTTTTGGATCCTTGTATACTCCTTTAATAGTCCTTGAATTTTAGGTGGTTACCTCAGCACGAACCCTGTAAAGTTAGAKTAACTTAATATTTAGCTGCTTTGGTCTTCCTGGACAACATTCGGAAGGCTATGCCCACTTGGAGTCAGCTGTGGTCTTACTACCCTGGCTCCAGAGGTTGTCTCACTGATTTTAGTGGGARAATCTCTGGAGCCAGGGTACTGTCTTGCCAGTTCCAAACATGAGGCCATTACCAGGTCATATCTGCTTGGTGGATACGATGTTCATAAAACTTTATTCGGGCAATGATAAACAATGAAACCCATGCTTAACTTTGTTTCAATTTATCTCGGCTATGATTTTGCTTATTTTTGGGTCAAATCAACCAAATGCACGCTTTTTAATTTTTTTATTAAAACATGAAGTCATAAATTATGTACATCAGAACTAGATCACAAACATTTCATAAATTGGTTTTGTGTGTGATTGACAACACAAGAAAAACCTTGTAGAGATTTAAATCTTTTCCATGTAGTATCTATGGCTGGTAAATAGGCAAGACCCCCTAGCACTAAGAACTAACASTTAGTATAGGACACTTGCATTATGGTGTCAAACTACAACTACCAGAATACCTTGCACACTTTTTTGTTCAGTTAATTAGCAMCAATAGCACAGCGCAGCCATGACGTAGTAAAAACAAAGACAAAGGTGAAATTCGGACAAACAAACTTACAAGTTTACTTTCAGCAGATAATTTTCACMACCAATCGCAGTTGATCTTAGTTTACATGGGTTATTATTGTAACTTTTAAGTAAAAATAATAAAATGAGTTCGTATAATCCTGGTAGCGGTTAAACAGAATGCAATGTTTGTCCGAATCTTTAAGCTATTTTTAGAATCAGCGCACTGCGCTACTGTCTTCATTCTCATAAAGCAATACAATTTGTGAAGCATTTTGGTAGTACTAGCGGTCAAATGACACCATTGACAATATTAACAGTCTACAACAGTTCAGTTTTCCAAGTCAATAGATAGTCGATCAGCAACAGTGTTGCATGGGCCATTTGACTTATGGAAAATGAGAATGGGTAGTCTAAATGCTTTAGTAGAAACTAGTTAATAATCTACTATCTTCGATTTCATACCAATATTTAATTATCAGTTTTAGCTCAAAACACTTTGCAACTTGAAGGATAGATAAGAGTAGATTATCCAATCAGAGTGCACGATTCATGATTGTATGTTAGTATAAAGTTAAGGTTTCTACTAATTGACGGTTTTCAYGGTGGCCATGTTGGAGGAACTTAAAAGAATTATCAATGAATTCTTTTGTTATRTCCTCCAACATGGCCGTTGTGTCTTTTGTTATTTAATTCAGTGGGAATGGTTGAAAACCATCAATACTTAGCGCTTATTGACTAGGACCAAGGGAAACAGTGTGTTTATTGGACCCAGGGAGATTTTTCAAAAAAATAGATSTTGAGGGAATACAAAACACTTTGCTTTTCAGAGGTTCAAGATAATAAGTGTTTTTAATATACTGAGTTTTAAAGAACACAATTCAAGCAAATTTTTRATTATTTGATTTTCAAAAACTTGGATTTCTGGAGAAACCACTTCTGGTATACATGTAATTATTATTACTGGATATTGTTGCCCGCTGAGAGGTGTGGCATTGCCAGGGAAACATTGAAACTTGCTCAAGTTCATGTGATACCCTCTTGTCCAATATTAGAGTATGAGAAAAATGGCCTTTGACAGTTGGTATTTAACAATTCTCTTCTTTTACATACCTTAATATATTATTTTCCTGTTTGTGGAGTAACCAGAAGATGAARCCACACTATTAAATTGTGCTAAAGGCTGAACAATGTTGAAAATACCACATTTGATATCCAAATATAAATGAAACAATAAACAGGATGACAGAATCTTGAAGAAGTTTAAGTAAATTTTTTAAAAAATAATTTATAAATACATTTTCTGTAACTCCAAGCCTTTTGATGTACTGAACACCAAAAAATGAACTCAGAATGAACTGATTATCAATATTGCACAGAATGGGATAGTATTTTGACTCCCCCCCAGGGCGGATCTAGGAATTTTAGAAGGGGGGTGATTATTACAAAAGTTTTACCAGGAATTCGAGGGTTTTTTTAAACCATTCTTTTAGTTAATCCCTCTAAGGGAGAACGAAATATTAAGACTTGGTTTGGTAATAATTCCATCAAGTAAATGTCATGCGTTTTGATCACCAGCTCATTTTCTTTTCTCTTTTTACAAAATGATTTCCTTTTCAACTACGTGTGTTCTATCAAAAACGACTGGATCATTGACACCAAGTTCTACAGCCAAGGATTTTTTCTGCACATATTTTATCCAATTTTGAACATGTATTTCGACGACCGAATTAAGTTGCTCCGGAAATGAGAAGGAGTACAATATCTTCAAGTCTCTGGGGTTTGCTTTCTTAAGCAACTTATTTGCAAATTCTTCAAATGTCTTAAACAAGTCATAGTTGACGTGTAAAGGGAGTTTGAGGTAGGCCCTGTGCAAGAGAAGTGGTACAAGTGAAAGACAATTGGATTGGTATTTACTGTCAAACCAGTAAATCACAGGATAACACAGAAGAAATCCAAACATTGTAGAAAGATTCCATTCTTCTTGGAGATCGACATTATAAAAATGTTCTTCTGGAATTCCAGGAAGATGGGACTTCTGGTCCAGTTGAATTAACAAGTCACCAATCTGTCTACAAACTGTTGTTTCTATTTCTTCAGTAACGGCTCTTGGTTGTTCAAGATTCCCGGTCACATCTATCAAAGAAAAACTTTTTAATTTCAGGTTTTTGTTCATGGCTTTCAACAGAACATTTATATCCGTTATGAAGAAATCTTGTCCCAGAACAACTACGTCTAAAACTAGTGTTGTCATGCCACTTTTATGAAGGTCTTCAAGAAGATGTACAACCTTTATGGGATCGATAAAGCAATAATCGAAGAGCAAAGATGGTTTGAGACCAATGCATATTAAAATTATGTCCATCATCAAACTATCGTAATGTTTTTGAAATGGTTTTCCCAAGTGTTTTCTCATTTTTGATTTCCATTCACCACACTCAGCAGACATCTTTAATTTCGGTCAGTACTTCGTGTAAGACTACATGAGTCGTCCCGGCTTTATACACCACTATTTTAAAGATTCCCTGAATTCCCCTGTGATCCCCTGCGTTTCCCTGCATTCCCCTGCGTTCCCCTGTGATCCCCTGCTTTCCCCTGTGATCACCTGTGATCCCCTGTGATCCCCTGCATTCCCATGTGATCCCCTGCGTTCCCCTGTATTCCCCTGCGTTCCCCTGCGTTCCCCTGCGTTCCCCTGCGTTCCCCTGCGTTCCCCTGCGTTCCCCTGCGTTCCCCTGCGTTCCCCTGTATTCCCATGTGCTCCCCTGTGGATCACAGGGGAATTTAGGAAATCTTTAAAATAGTGGTGTATAAGCCGGGACAACTCATGTAGTCTTACACGAAGTAATAACCTTAATTTCTACGGGTTGGCTGCCATTTCTCGTACCCAGACCCTACTCATTTCACTGAAAATCCGCGTGTCGAGCATCATGTTATAATGATGATAACAGGAATGTATATAATTGACATACCGAAAAACCTGATTAAAGATAACCTGACCACAGGRCTACATGTATTTATAGTTAATTCTTACTTTCCTCAGGTCTAAATAATGAAAATGTGGTAAGCAAAAAAAATGATGATGATCGATGATGATCATAATAATAATAGCTATGCCACATGTATCCCAAATTAGCCAATCATTTTAGTGTCAGTTGAATTACAGTAAATGTATGGAGTTTGTAAACGATATATAATAGAAGCTAAAAAATTAATTTGGAAAATTAACTCACTTGGTGGTTGATTGATCCCCTGTGGGTCTAGGCTACTGTGGGTCTGGCATAGTTTGAGGCCAATCCGTCAAGTATTTCACAAGTTACAGTAATTTTTTTTTCCCTTTTAAAACAAAATGTTCTATAATTCATGAAATACTGAAACGGATCTATCAACCCAAGCAGAATGAAATGTGTGCTAAAAATGTGGGGTATGGAAACAAAAACCAAAGTGTTATTGGGGGCACTTGGATTGACACACAATTCGAAGAGTAGTATGTTTACCAACTACAAGGGGCATTGGTAGCAACAAAAACAAAAATGATATTTTATGATGGGATAAAAATTTTATATTAAAACTAACCTAATCTTGTAATGTAAACTTGAGAAGCATTACTCCCCAGACCCCTCCTCAACTGCCCCTAAAACAGTTATAGACCAAATGCGAAACTTACACCGACGTGAGGCTTAGTTGTGAACAAAGGGATCTGGCATGGTTCATAACTTTTGAATCACTCCAGATTGTTTTGAATCATACCAGATCCCTTTGTTCACAACTTAAGCCTCATGTACATGTTCATTGGGTCTTTGTTGGATGTGACGTCTTTTTTCATATCAGACCCTGTGTGAGCATCTTTTGAGGTAGAACAACATTTGTGGAATCATTCAAAAGTGATTTATGATTTCATTTCAATGTTGACTAGTAGGTAATATGAGGACCATCAGTTTCCAACCTTTATTCTCGGCTTCAAATTTGACGAGAAAAACTTCAAACCTTACTTAGCAATTAAATGAAACACAAAGAACAGGTAGGTGTAATTCAAATGAAAATTTATTTCTTCAAGATTTTCTTTGTATATATTATATATCACATATCAGCTTTTCCAAGCACACTCATACATGTACATGTACATAGCCTGGGCTACCTGTGGTAAGACTGACCTTTATGACAAGAAAACAAAAAAAACTAAACAAAGTAGATATTGAAAGAAAAAAATAGAGGAACATTACTCATCTTACTAGTGGGACTGAGCSTTTAAAATATTGATGGGTTGCAAGCATTCCCTAGAGAGTCAAAAGACAAAAACATGGCAGCCATCGTGGTGCCATTAACGATGGATGATAATGAGAAATCTTTTGTTGAATGGCACCAACATGGCTTCGATGAAGTAATGTGTAATCAAATAATTAAATAGAGTAAAATGCTATGAATCCTTTRAATGTCAACAAGCATAAAGGCACAGGGAGCCCAATCTCTGAAAAGTGCAACTAGTATGCATGAGTTTCRCCAAATAACTAGATCTAGACACTATAAATATTTTGCAATTTCTTGTAATACAGTCCAAAATTTTCAATAAGTAAAAAGAATACAAAAATACAATGTTTAGATCACAGAAACCTGAATATGAGTGAACTTGCATGACCCCCTTGCAATAAGTCTTTGACATCACATGCAAGTGGTATATGAACTTCTTCAGTTCGGCCCGTGAGAATGTAATACCAAAACTAATGACAGTTGCAAAGGAGACTAGGTTCATTTCAACTTCTTCTGAATCAATGGTGATGGAGATTTTAAATCTTCTCTTTTTGCTATGACTTTGCTTTCTTGGCAGCAGATGATGTAGCATCACTTATAGCTTTAGCAAGCACAGGAGCAGTTACAACTGGTGCTGATGTGGCACTGATATCCCACTTAGATTTTCTTTTTTTTGCCTCTTCAACTAAAAAATGTAAAAAATAATAAGAATTGAGGGTTTGCCTAAAACGGAATCCGGTATAATCACACAGAATAGTAAAACACAAAATCACCAAAAAAAAMWTTGAATTTAATGATTTGATGAGCAAATAAATATTTTAGTAAAAAAACTAATTTGCAACGTTTCGCTGTCATCTCGACAACATCATCAGGTCTAAATTGTATACCTAAACTGGTCCTACATGCCAGTGATACCCAATTTTTGGCAMCTGGTAAAAACCTAGCGGTTTCCAGTTTGGATAAATTATCCAATTAATTAGTTCAACTTAGTTTATATGTATTGCAAAATSACTGTAAACCAAGTTATGGGCATAACTGGGCACACCACTTTTTCTGAAGTTCTTTGTAAAAAACGTAGGCATAGACATCATACATAGGCAACAAAGGCATAATCTTAATTTTTCCATTAATATCTGAAACATGATGAGAGGAAGAAATGAAAGAGAAGTATGTTTTCAAGATTTCCTTACTTCTTTGTTGCTGTCCAYCTTACTGACCGGAGCAACCGCATAAAGATTGGACCTCAAACAGTACAAGTCCGCATTTACATCCACAAAACATGCACAGAATGCAGGGCCAGATCCAGAGAGGGGTGCAGGGGGTGCGCATCCCTCCCTAGTTCCACTTTGTGCCCCTACTTCAAAGATAACCAATACTGTTTTTTCCTTTGATTCTAATAGGTGCACCCCTCCCTGGGTTAACTTTGTGCGCAGCACCCCTGGATCCACCCCTGGAATGCTGAGCAAAGTGTCAAAAATAAGTAAAAGTGGTACAAGGTTGGGGGTGGGTAGGGAATAAATACCACACTACAAATTCTTTTCTGCTGAGGAATGTGTTGAAATTCTCATTGTATCACCGCTATACCATCAAGGCATTAAAAGTAGAAAATATTCATTTGTTCATCAAATTCAACCAGGTTTTTTTGGTGATTCCAGGTTTTAGTACTCCATGCAATTATTCTGGATCCTGGAAAAAAAGTGTTCTGGGACATTAGCTKGTACACACAAACATAAAAAGCAATTTCAAATCTTTCATTATTATTTGCTATAATAATAAACATACTTTTTACCTGCTGTTGCAGTTATTTCTGTAGCAGATTTTTTAGTCCCTGAAAGAAACTGAATCTGTTGGGAAATAAAATTTATAACATTTGACTATAATGACGAAAATAGAACATTAGTGATTTAKTGGGATAGGAATTATATTAAAAAACAAAAGAAGATCACTGAAGCTGAACTTTTTCTTTTGCCTTTTAATGTATTCCTTTCTCACAAAATTACTTATGTTCAAATATCATATGACAACGTTCTTGTAAGTAGGTGTATATCGTATGACAA